TCGGAAGTTACAAGACATGCGAACTGCAACAAGACAAGTCCGTGTCAATGTCATGTGTGTGACACGACGGACTGAGCTCACTATGGCTGCGACGCAGCTCCGTGGCAGGCGATCGGTGCACAGCACTTTGGCGTGCTCTCAGCTGTTTCTGAACTGTGCACTAAATTTTCTTGCATGCATCCACTGTTCCGCCGTTAGCGTGCACTGGGCTGTGCTTGGCTGTAGATGCCAAGATGAAGGTTCTGGAACACGGCCGAGGTGTTGCAACTGCTCCCTTGCTCACTAAAACAGGCCTGCGTAAAGTCGCTTGGGAAGGTCGCAAACAAGGTAAAGCATGTGCATCGCGACATCTGGTTCGTTGTTTGCAAAATAAAGCAGTTGGATCACCATCAAGAGTGTTGTTGGATTTGAGAATTTTCCACCATGACGTGTTGAACAAGCATACCGTTCGCGAAGTGGTTTCAGTCTTGTAGTCGCGACGGCTTTGTGTAGTGTAGTATTCTCGTCGGCATGGGAACCATGGTCGTTCTGTCTGTTCAGTTCGTGTTTGCATTGATTGTTGGCTTCAAGCAGCCAGGCTTACATTGTTGAAAGTGAAGCAAAACATTGGAGTCTTGTCGAACGAGATGAAGTGTTTGTCTATGTGTTTGTTGAAGCACCAAGTTCTAGACACATTCGACATAGTCATAGTCGGAGCCATGGCGGCAACATCAGCTGCTGCATACAATTTGGCGAAGAAGCTATGTCAAGAGTACGAAAAGCGGAAGAAGGCACAGTAGCTATTGGTGTATGCACGGCATAGGGGTTGTTTCTCAGAGGCATGGAAAATGTGTGGCAGGAAGAAAAGGAGATGAATTTGAAGCATGAAAACACGGACGTGCATGCCGAGAACAACAAGAGCGAAATCAGTCGGAGCCCCAGCATGAAAGAGTAATAGAGAACAGTCGTTGACGATCGTTGGTTTTGTGCCCAGCTCGATGTGGAGCTGGCGGCACACAGTGCGTTTGCTTGATATGCTTTCCCATGGTTCGCATGCCAGGCCGCAAAGTCACCGAGATCGACTACGGCAAGCACGAGAAAACTGTCAAGGAGCTGGATCGGCAAGAAAAAGAGCAAGAGTACCAGCGTCACTTTGATTAATGATTCGCTGCTGGTGCTGGTAGGGTTTTGGCACGCTGGCATGTGTTTCGACAAGCAACTTAGGAAAGGCCACGGAAGCAGCTCAATGGTGCACGTTGGACCACGAACATGGGCCCAATTGCAAGAGGCCGGAACAAAAAGTGCAAATAGATTCATGGTCTTGCACGAGTAAGCAAGATGCCAAGCTTGAGCTTGGGCAGTGGGCATTTTGGTTTCGGTTCACGAAAATACGCCGAAGGCCTCCAACGAGCTGCTCGCAGGACCACCAGAAGGAGTGGCAGCAGCCAGGCTTGACAAGGATGCATCGGTTGGTTTCGGTTGATTGTTCGACGAGACGGTTCCGTGGTTCTCTGTTTTTCCAATCTTTCCAAAGTCCTGGTCGTGGCTTGGAACCTAAGGATTTACGAGCGAAGTACAGAGGAGAAAATTGCAGCTGCTGAGCGCTTCCGCCAAGAAGGCAATGAAGCGTACCGTCTCTTAACTGGATATGCATCCATCGCAGTCCACTCCGACCGTGTCGTTCCACACGCTAAGGAAAGCGCAATTTCGGCCTTGCGGCCGTCCACTACCGAAAGGCTTTACTGCACTTTGACTACACTTTTGCGGAGACGGAGGACAGGGTGAGCCATTGATGTGTCAGGCACCCTATGTGGATCCTTTGTGCTCGAATGAACAACTGGTTCTGGTGCGTTTGCGATCTGTGCACATGAGCCACGTCGGCCCTTTCACATTTCATTTTCACGGTGTTTTGTTTCTGTAACCAAGCTTGCTGCAGCAGTCTGCACGCTGGCAGCTTTGAATAGATCTCGGTCTGATAGATGCGTTGGTGGTTGCTAGTTTTTCCAGAGCAGCTGCACATGGGAGGACTTGCAGAATCAGGCCAGAGCATGCAAGTCCGGAGAGTCTGCAAGGAACTTTCTCGGCATCATGTTTCTTGCATGAGCCTCCTGGAGAAGCATGGCCAGAGCACAAAACAGCAAGAATTTTCGTTTGCTTGGCAAGAGTCCAGAGTCAGGCTCGTTCCTGAAAGTCGCAGAATTTCTTCAGCTGTTGCTATTCAAGCTTTTCGACGCTGAGTCTGAGACTCCTGTGTGCTATATGGACTCCCAATCTTTTCGGGTTGGGCCATCCTATCCTAGTGAAAGAGATGAAGGCGCGGAACGTCCAAGCCCAGTCCCCGACACTGCAGCCGCAGGTCGATGCTGTGAAACTGCCTTGCCTGCTGAACCTGGCGGCCTGCAAGTGCCAGCAGGCTGGAGACCGGTTCATAAGCAGAGTCCTGTTATGATCCCAGCCGCTCAGTGCTTTTTTTTTTCAGCGTGAGTCTGCGCAGGAAGACTGGGACGAAGTGCTCACGCAGTGCCGGCAAGCGCTGGAGATAAACCCTCGTGCCGCCCGGTCTCATCACAACCCAGCCATTGAAATCCGCTCCCCAAGTCCAGCAATGACGGAGACGTGTTCAGAGCTGGCCGCAATCACACTCATTCTGAGCTGCTGCATTTTGTTTCTTGGATCTCAAGAACTTGAAGCTTGAAGCATATGAGGCTGTCAAAGCACACTACCGTGTGGGGCTCGCCTACTTGGCTCGAGACGAGTTTGAGCTCGCAAAGGCCCACGGGTCCGGGTCCGCTTCGATTCGCAGACTCGGCCGTGGCCCTTGGGATCCTGCGAGGACGCGCTCACGAGTGCTCACGAGATCGAGCCCTCGAACCCTGACATTGCAGCTGCACTGAAGCAACTGAAGAAGAACATGGAAGACTACAAGACACGTCGGCGCAACTCGCACGCAGACAGATCCCAGGAATCCAGCTGTAGCTGTCGTGGCTGCTTTTTGTTTATTTGTAGAGCCGTTTTTTCACAATTCAGGAGACGTGGCGAAAGAGATGCTTTCAGGCAAGGACCAGGTGCCTGATGTCGCGGAGCAGGCGCAAGGGATGACGCCGTTCCTTCAGATGTCTGTTCGCGGGTACTTCCGGTCGTCGTCCAGCTGGCCAGTTCATGGAGGTTCTGGGCTTTGGGGTGTGAGTGCTCGTGTGGCCTTGGAAAAAGACAGTGTCTGGCTGAATGCACTTGCAGGTGACCGCGCAGCCAGCCGACGCGACTGGTGCAGAAACAGAGGAGGCATGTTGGATAGCCTCTGTTTTGGTTTGGGCGCACAGTGGCCGCAAGCGGCTTTGCTTCTTTCAGAATTTCGTGAGGGTGTTCTACAGAGTTCTGCCTTTCTGTCCTCGAGAAGGTGCTCGACATGCTTCCAACATCTCTGGAATCTGGAACCTAGCTGTTCATTTGGGATTTATTGGCTTCGGGTGCTTGGTGAGCCCTTCGCAGATTAGCAGTTAGCATCGCATGTACAAGCCTCCTACGCCTTGCATCAGGACTACATAGAATACCGGCAGAAGGAAGTGAGACGTGTTGAAACAACCGCAGTGATTTCCGTACTACAGAGACCAGAGGGGTCGAAGTGAGAAGGCTTCTCTGGTTGAAAACCGACACAGCCTGGCCCGGAAGGTGGCGCATAGCATGCCCTTGGAGGCTCCCCGAAGCCGAAGCAGCGTGCCTTTTGATTTTGCAATGTCTCTGCTGAGCTTCGCAGCTCCGAATGTCACTTGTTGGGTATGTATTTTCTGGCAGCTTGGAGGGGGGAGTTGCCGCAGATTTTCTGTCAATACGTTTGCTCTCTTACCTTTTGGCTTTTGGATATCCTGCCAGTCGCGAGAGACTCCTGCTGCGGGCCTCCGCCGGCGCAAGGGCTCCAAGGGCTCTGGGCTTAGAGCCGCTTAAGTGTGTGCACCGTGGTATCCCCATGTGCACTCCCAGGTGCGGAGCCAGCCGAAGACGATGAGGAAGATGACGAGGCGGCCCGAAATCGGTATTGGCAGACGGGCTCACAGTCACCCACACCTTGTAGAATCTTCAGACCCGCGAGAGACTGAGGCAATACGCCAATCGAACCTTAAGCTCCTTTCAGTTCTGCAGGCAGAAAAGCGACAGGGCACTCTGCAATGCCTGCTATTGGCCGCTGTGGGTGCGAGCCTTTCTGCAAGGGCTTTGGTCTTGTCCGGTAGTTTTGCAAGAGGTGCGTACCTCTTTGTTGCAAAATTGGACTGCGCGAACTCAGGCCTGGGTGTGCTGTCGGTTACTGCACTGGCCTTTGGCCTCAGCAGTTCTGGGCTCTTCGTAGATGGGGGCTGGCCTTCGCAGTGCCTTCACTCCCATGTCGGACTTTGCAAAACATCCACGCACTTCAAGGCTGTCTCGTTGACGAGCACCTGAGCCGGAATGCACCTTAATGAAAGTTGGCTCTGATCGCAAAGCCAAGCAGGTTTCACAGTAGGCGCTTTGGTGCAACATGCGCCATGCGCCTCTAGTCTGAGGATGGACCTGCCTCACTCCCCAAGGTGCAGCGCATGCGGCACCGTCTATCTTCGCGATGAGTTTGGAAGCGGCAGTGCAAGCGGAGTGACTTCACCGGGCATGTTCTGCCAGCAGTGGCAAGTTCACCCTGAGAGCAATGGGTTTAGCGGCTGCCGCTGAAAGCAGCTGCAGTCAGTGTCGAAGAAGAAAGTATCTGTGTGCCAAATAGTGGGTGGGCCGTGGGTAGCAGAGCAAGACAGAGCAAGACGACACGCTTGAACTAGGCCGAGACGCTCGAGGGCCAAAGAGAGTTCCAGGCCGGCTGAATCCCTTCCTGGAGCTGGAAAGCCGCTAAAGACGACGCCTGAGGGGCTTGTGCAGCCGCTCGCTTCTCCAGGCCCCGGCCCAGAGGAAGCCGGGAAATTTGTATGTTGTTGCCAAGTTCATTTCAAGGAACCAAGCTAGTATAGTGCCTCAGTGCCGGCGCGCTGGATTTGCATCTGGCGATGGCGCTCCGTGGACAGTCCCGCCCTCATTCGCTGATGCAAGAGCAACACCGCAACAAGCGAGCGAAGACTACGCTATTTCTCATGATTTCTATGACAACGTTCATTGTTGCTACCATGCTGCTGACAAAGGCGTGGCATAGGTGTTTCTTGTACGTACAGTATCGTACAGTACCACTACGATTTGCGACCGCTCTATGCCACTCCTGCTGCCGCTTCTGCTGCTGCTATCGTGAACCAAAATAGCGATACATATGGGAGTAGTAAATGCAATGAAGCAAACCTGTGGTCTTGTGTGCTTACCAGGCCAAGCAAGACAGGCTAGACAGGCCTTAGCAGCTGGCAACGTTGCAACATCCACAGCCGTGCTGCTTCCAGAGTGCTCATCTCTGCCAAGGACAAGCCCCTTCGGTCCCTATGGTGGTCTTTGCCGCCAGTTTCTGATGCGAGACCAGGAACGTCAAGAGGAAACCCCACAGAGACTGGAGCAGCTTGGGGCAGGGTCTGGTGCGGCAGACGTCGAGTACGAGCAGTTTATGAAGGCCAAGGAAGTGCAGAGGGTTATGTTCCAGCAAGAGAACAAGACCATAGTACATCAATGTGCCGACACGGACATCATCGAGGCTACAACAGGGTCCATTGCCTGCATCGATGGGAACCAAGCCGCAGCTCACGTTGCCTACGCCCTCAGTGACTGCGCCTTCATTTATCCCATCACGCCGAGCTCTCCGATGGGAGAGATGGTGGACGAATGGGCCGCGCAAGGCTAGTGTCTCAAAGTTGATGCCATGCCGTGACATGACTGTGGTGCAGCTGAGCCTCATGTTTGTTTCTGTGTCAGGCCTCATCAACTGCTACGGACAGAAGCTCAGTGTGACGGAGATGCAAAGCGAGGCTGGCGCAGCCGGTGCTCTCCACGGGGCATTGAAAGCAGGTGCCTTCAGCACCACCTTCACTGCCAGCCTCCTGGCCAAAGCATCTGTTGCAAGCTTTCTAGAATGTTTTGTTGCTGGTGGTTCTGAGTTCTTTCTCCGTTCTGACTGGCAAGTTCTTGAGCAAAGCCAATGCTTGCCAGCATAGGTCAGGGTCTGCTGCTGATGATCCCGAACATGTACAAGATCGCGGGCGAGTTGCTGCCGTGCGTCATGCACGTCGCCGCACGGGCTCTGGCGGGACAGGCCTTGTCAATCTTCGGGGACCACAGCGATGTGATGGCCTGCCGCTCGACCGGTTGGGCCATGCTGGCGTCCGAGTCGGTGGAGATGGCGCAGGTGAATGCAATTGTCGCCCACCTTGTGTCCATGGAGCGACGGGTCCCAGTGCAGCACTTCTTTGATGGGTTCCGCACCAGCCACGAAGTGAACAAGATCAAGCTCATCGACTACAACACCATGAAGTCCTTTATCAATTGGGATGCTGTCAAGGAGCATCATGACCTAGCAATGAATCCTCGCCACCCGCATGTTCAGGGCACGTCACAGGGTCCCGACATCTTCTTCCAGTGTGTCGAAGCGGGCAACACCTTCTATGACGGGCTGGCAGATCTCTTTGAGGAGAAGGGCAAGCTGGTGCAAGAGCAGACCGGCTTGCACTTCGCCCTCTACGGCTATGAAGGGCATCCAGAGGCCAAGCACGTGATAGTGGTGATGGGCAGTGCCGCCGTGACTTGCGGAGAGACGGCCATGTTCTTGTCGAAGCACAAGGGGCAACGCGTCGGCGTGCTGAAGGTGCGTCTCTTCCGGCCCTGGGACAGCTCGCGGTTTCTGGCAGCCTTGCCAAAGACAACGGAGCGTGTCTGCGTGCTGGATCGCACCAAGGAGCAGGGGTCCCAGGGAGAGCCGCTCTTGTTGGAGGTTGCCTCGATGCTGCATGCCAGTGCTCACCCGGAGATCGTCGTCGTCGGAGGCCGCTATGGCCTGGGCTCGAAAGAGTTCACGCCCAACATGGTGCTGTCCGTCTTCGAGAATCTCGCCAAAGACAGCCCGAAGCCGAGATTCGTCGTGGGCATCGAAGACGATGTGACGCACCTGTCTTTGCCGGTGGGCCCATGGCTCAATGTGCTTCCAGAGGGCACCACGGAGTGCATGTTCTATGGGCTTGGCAGTGATGGTACCGTCGGGGCAAACAAGAGCGCCGTGAAGATGATCGCCCTGGGAACCGAGCTCCATGCGCAGGCCCGGCCGAATCTCTCCGTCCCTCTTGCGCGCTGCTCGCTCTCTCTCACTCGCTCTCTCGCTTGCCGCGCTCTGTGCTTCTCTCTCCCTCTGGTTCTGGCTCTCTCTCTCTCTCTCTCTATCTCTCTCTGTGTCTGTTTCTATTTCGCTCGCTCGCTTTCTCTGGCTTTCGCACTCACTCACTCACTCACTCACAGACTCGCTCACTCACAGACTCACTCACTCATTCACTCGCGAGAGTGACCCCCTGTCCCTCCCTCCCTGCCTCCCTCCTTCCCTCCCTCTCTTTGTCTCTCTCTGTCGCTCTCTCTGTTGCTTTCTCTGTTGCTCTCTCGCTGGCTCGCTCTCGCTCTCTCTCTGTCTCTCTACGTCTCGCTTGCCCCTCTCACATGCTGGCATCACCGGAAAGGCATACTTCGAGTATGATGCCAAGAAGAGCGGTGGCGTGACCATCAGCCACTTGAGGTTCGGGCCCAAACCGATTCACGCCCCTTACAACGTCCGTGCTGCCGACTACATGGCCATCCACAAATCGAGCTACGTGCACAACTATGCGCCCTGCCAGACATGGAGTTGCAGTCAACTTGCATTGTTTCGTCCGCGCACGTGCTCACAGTTGGAGATTTGAGTTCGGTCTCCTCCTGCTGTCCGCACTTCAAGATGTTCACTAAATTCTAAGGACATGACCCGCTACCTGAAGCAGAACGCCGTCTGCGTGATCAATTGCTCCTGGGACGTGAAGGAGTTGGAGCAGCAGCTGCCTGCGAAGATGCGGCGCGATCTGGCAGAGAAGAAGGCCCGGGCATGCTGGAGCCAATGCCGACTGATTCCTTCTGATTCAACCCCGTCATTGCATTTCAGGCAAAGCTGTTCATCATCGATGCTACCAAGATTGCAGTGAAGGCAGGGAGACATCACTGAAGCCACCGAGTGTCCTGAGTGGTGCATGAAAATTGACGATAGCACAGTCTCGTCTCCTCTCGCATGCAGCTGTCTGCGTCCGGAAGATAGATGAAGATAGTACCTGCCAATCGAAAGGCCGGCCTGGGCAAGCGCATCAACATGATCATGCAAACCGTCTTCTTCAAGCTGAGCGGCCGCCTTAGATACATGCGACATGTGGAATGGTGTGGAGGTCTGCATCTTGCAGCCCAGTTGCATGAAGGTGCCGTCATGCCGTACGAAGAGGCCGTGGAGATGCTGAAGAAGAGCATCAAGAAGATGTATGGCAAAAAGGCGCCGTCGTGAGAATGGGGATGCGGGCTGATTGGCATGCTCTGGCATGTCCATACTGGCAGGGCGACAAAGTGGTGAAAATGAACATCGATGGGGTCGATGCTTCAATCGAGGGCATCGTGGAATGCGAAGTTCCAGCTGCTTGGGCATCCCTGGCAGTCGACACGGAGGCTCGTGCATGTCTTCTACGAATTGCAGATGGTGACGGTTTTCCAACGTTTCCATGCAAGTCTCGATTGCGCATCAAAGTTTCTTGACAGGCTTCCGATGGCAAGAAAAGCATGGTCGCCTATGCCAAGGGGCCACGCATGTTTCCGGAAGTGCAGAATGCCTCGCAGTTTGCCGCGCAAGTGCAGAAACCTTGTAACAATCTGGATGGCAACTCTCTTCCTGTGAGTGCCTTTGTGCCCGGTGGCCGCGTGCCATGCGGTACCAGTCAGTACGAGAAGCGTGGCATTGCTATTCAGGTGCCTACGGTAGACATGGACAAGTGCACGCAGTGCAACAAGTGCAGTCTGATCTGCCCCCATGCAGCTGTGAGACCATTCCTGATGACCTCTCAAGAGCTTGGGAAAGCACCGGCATCGTTCAAGGAAGGCAGTCGTTCTGCCATCGGAGGAGGTGTTTTGGATAACTACCAATACCGCATTCAGGTGTCGCCTTGGGACTGCACTGGCTGCGAGCTTTGCGTGCGCATTTGCCCCGCAGACGCACTCACCTTGGGTCCAGCAGAGAAGGCCATTCAGGAAGAGGAGGCCAACTGGAACTTCGCCGTGGCGCTGCCGGACCGCGGCGACGAAATTGACAAGACGACGGTCAAGGGCTCCCAGTTTCAGAAACCATACCTTGAGTTCTCAGGGGCGTGCGAGGGCTGTGGCGAGACGCCGCACGTGAAGCTGATGACGCAGCTCTTCGGCGATCGACTTGTTATTGCCAATGCCACAGGCCAGAATCACAAGCAGTCGGACTTAAAACAAGTGTGATGTTGTCAGTCTCTTGTGTTAATTCCGAAAAGTGTACGGTTGTCAGTCTCTTGTGTTACTCGTCGTACTACATTGGCAGGCTGCTCCTCGATCTGGGGTGGCTCCAACCCATCCTTCCCGTACACCACGAACAACAAGGGAGAGGGTCCCGCATGGGCCAACTCCTTGTTCGAAGACAACGCTGAGTTCGGCTTCGGCATGCGCAAGGCTCGCCCGCGGCAAGACGGCGCCACGTGCTGACAGAGGCAACGTGAATCTGTTGAATGTGTTCAGCGAGGCCTTCAAGCAGCGCCGCGACTACCTCGCAATGCAAGTGGAGGTCTGCACTCCGTTTGAGCTGAGAGCCCAGTCGGGTGTTTCCGGTCGCAGGCGGCTTCGTGCTGTGTTGACCTGCAGGACACCTTGGCGGATAAGTCCGTGACGATGTCCGACGAACTTCGTCAGGCACTGCAGCAGTACTTGGTGATGCGCAAGGACGCACATCCCCTCTGACCATGTCGGCCAGTGTAAGGAAGACCGATTCTTGTCGTCATTCGCAGGAGCAGATGCACGACCTCTTGCTGCCCAAGGGCCGCAGCGACTCGTCTGTATGACTGGAACATGCTGGCACAGTGTGGCTTGCCCTGAGCATCGTTGTGTCGCTGGACCCGAGGCATCTACCATCAGATCATGGAGAAGCTCGTGCCGCTTTTGGAGAAGGACCTGAGTTTTCCACTCATGATCACTGGGCCAGCTCCACTACTTGCTTTTTCAGGAGAAGACCACGCATCCAAAGATCCACAACCTCTACGACTTGCCACTCGATGTAGTCACCGTATCAATAGTCGCCGTCGTCGCTTATCTGTGCCATGCTTTTCTGTTGCAGTAGTTGCTGCAGCCAAGGGAAGACATGTTCGGCCGCAGCAGCTTCTGGATTGTTGGTGGAGACGGCTGGGCCTACGACATCGGGTACGGTGGCCTGGACCACGTGATTGCCAGCGAGGAGCACGTGAACATCCTCGTCCTCGACACGGAGATGTACAGCAACACGGGCGGTCAGGCATCCAAGGCAACACCCAAGGGAGCTATGGCCAAGTTTGCCGAGGGTGGCAAACTCACACAAAAGAAGGACCTGGGCCAGATGGCCATGACATACAAGAACGTTTACGTCGCGAGCATCTGCGTGCATGTGAACCCTCAGCAAGCTGTGCGAGCTCTGATCGAGGCGGATGCCTATCCAGGCCCTAGCCTGATTCTGTCCTACACCCCATGCATTAGTCAAGGCTTCCCGATGGCGGAGTCAATCCAGCATTGCCAGATGGCCGTTGACAGCGGCTACTGGCCCCTCTACCGCTACAATCCTGAGGCTGCGGCGCATGGCAACAATCCCTTCCAGCTCGACAGCCGAAAGATCAAGGGCGACCTGTTCAAGCTCCTGGCAAAGGACGGGGGAGAGGGGCAAGAAATGCGAAGCCAGTCGCAGTGATTCGGATGCCATGCCCTGCCAAGTGATTGCATGCTGTGTGTGATGAGCAGTGCCGCTCTCAGGAGAACCGCTTCGCAGCCGTGATGCGTCGCGACCCAAAGCACGCCGAGGAGTTGGACAACAAGCTGCAAGAAAATGTGGTGCAGAAGAATCACCTGCTGCAGGTCCTGAACAAGGAGGACTTGGAAGGGCAGTTCTCCAAGCTGGTCGAAGGTCTTTCGGATGCGAAGAGCTCGGGTGACTCTATCACGGTGCTATATGGCAGTGAGACCGGCAATGCGGAGGAGCAGGCGAAGAATCTGATGCAAGACCTCATTGCACGCGGACTGAAATCCACAGTGAGCTCGTTGGATGACTTCGAGTTCGAGGAGCTGCCAAACCAGAAGATTGTCATCTTGGTGGTGTCCACGTGCGGACTGGGCGAATATCCGGCCAACTGCAAGCAGACCTGGCTCAAGCTCCAGTCTCCGGATCTGCCAATGTCCTGGCTGGCAGGTGTGAAGTTCTGCGTCTTCGGCCTGGGCGACTCCACCTACAGCCAGTTCTGTGTGGCTGCTGCCGGCTTCGACACCCGCTTCGGCGAGCTCGGCGGGCAGCGCATGCTGAAGCGGGGCGTGGGCGACGACCGTGATGAGGACAGGTACTACACTGGTTGGGAGGCCTGGCTGCCAGAGCTGTGGAAGGTTCTCGGGGCCCCGGCTTTGCCGCTGAGCCAAGACATCCCTGCGCCTTCCTATCGCGTGGATGCATCCACAGGCGATGTGGCAAAGCCACCCATCAGCGATGACGACATCATCCCGCCCGGTGCCAACAGACTCACGCTGCTCACCAACAACGTGCTGACAGGGGATGCCAAGTACGATCGTGATATTCGGCATTATGAGTTCAAGATTGAAGGCACGAACGTTGCGTACAAGACAGGCGAGAGCCTTGCCATCTGGCCCCGCAACCCGGAAGACAAGGTCCTGGAATTCTGTGAGATGATGGGCTTCGATGCCGGGCAGCACCTGCGGATCCTGCCTCTCGAGGGTGCGCGCAACTGGTGTCCTACGGAGCTGAGCGTGCGCCAGCTTTTCTCCCACGTCTTGGACATCTTCGGAAAGCCGAACAGGAAGTTCTTCCAGACGTTGGCTCTCTTCGCAAAGGATGAGGCAGAGAAGAAGCAGCTCCAAAGCATGGTCGAGAACAGCCAGGAGGGCGCGGCCCTCTACCGGGACTTGACACACGACTTCGCACACCATGCAGATGTGCTGAAGAAGTTTGCAAGTGCTCGACCTCCCATCGAGCACTTGCTTCAGATGATGCCAGTCCTCAAGCCCCGCAGCTATTCGATTGCCAGCTCTCCGTTGATGCATCCGGACAAGATCCAGCTGTGCGTGGTGTTGGTGGACTGGACGGTGGAGAGCACCAAGGAACTCCGCCTGGGCGAGTGCACAGGCCAGGAGCTTTCGACTAGCAAGGTTACGGAGTTACGCCCTCTATGGTCCGTGCGCATTCCCAATCGAGAAACGCCACCGACGGTTTCTGGGCAATGTGCGCGAACCCACCCAAGTCCTGCCCAGACCCTTGAGATCTGTCTCTAGCACCCTCGTGGCCTTGCAAGCCCCTTTGAGTCTATGCTTCTTGTGAAAATGTGAAGTTCAGTGTTCGTGTAGCCATTGGACGCCAGGCTACATGCAGCAGCAGAAGCCGGGAGCACAAATCATGTGCGCCGTGCGGTCGAGCGCCATCGTGCTGCCCAAGGACACCATGACTGCAAGCCTAAGTGCACCTCCAGCTGCTGAGTTGTGAGCGGTGGAGTTGCTAGGAGCCGGAGAAGCCTGTCATCATGGCGGGCATGGGGACAGGATTGGCCCCGTGGCGTGCTGTCACGCAGGAGCTTTTGATGACGTTGTGCCATTCTGTGAGCAGAAAAGCAAGCTTGCTGGTCTGATGTTGCCAGGAGCGAGTGATGCAAGCCAGGCAAGGGCTCAAAGTTGGCAAGTGCATGCTGTTCTTTGGGGCCCGGTACAAGCAGGAGCCTCGCAAAGACTACAGCGTTCATGCTTTGGTGCACTCATTGTATTTTGCAGGAGTGGCTCTACAGAGAGGAGTTTGAGAGCTACGAGAAGGAGGGTGTCCTGCAAATGCACACGGCCTTCTCGCGAGAGCAGGCTAGTGAGCACTCCTGCCCCGTGCGGTTCATGTAGCAGCGATGCAGTGGTGAGGCACGCAAGATCTACGTGCAGCACAGAATAGTGGAGGCAGCTCCATCGGCGGAGGTTTAGGAGTGCTGTCTGCTCTGAAGTGCAGACTTGTTTTCAATACGACTATCGTTCCTGTACTGTACCTTGCTCTCTCACTGGTCGCCTCCATTCCTAAGTTATCCTAAGTTTATTTGACCTTGGCTTGTCTGTTGGTCCCTTCCTGCTCATCTGTTTCCTCATCCGAGTGCCTCACAGCAAGCACCATTCGCAATCATGTGAGGCGGGAGCCGACGTTGCAGAGAGGATGTTGAATCAGGGCGGCCATTTCTATGTCTGTGGATCTGCACGGCAAGTGCCCGAAGATATCTATACCGCCATGAAGGAAGCTTCTTGGTTGCAAATGTTACACCAGCGAAATAGCTGGCTGTAACTGATGGCGGATGGTGCTTGCCATCTTCCTCGTGACAAGCGCAAGCGCAAGAGGCATGCTTGTTGCCTGGTCCGCCAGGTAATGATGACGCACGAGCGCTGTCCTGAAGAGGACGCGGAAGCGATCCTCTCTAATTTGAAAATGGAGGGCCGTGGCTCGGCATACAGCGCATAAGGAGCCATCTACTTTTCGCGTTTCGGGAAGAGCCAGGACAAGACTTGTAAGCTTCTCCGCAAATGCCCGTCCCGAGGTTACACGGTGGAAGCCTGGTCGTGAGCAGGGCCTCAGGTGCGTGATGCACCGGCATTGGTTCAGATACTTTCTCAATTTTGGATACCATGCGAGGAAACTTTAGCTCGCATGGACCTAGTCGCGGGCTGCATGGACAATTTGCGCCTGCATTCCCTTTGATAATATTCTCTTGCGGCAGTGGCACACGGTTCGTACATGCTTGATGAAGCAGTCCTACATTGCATTCCTGATGCGATTCGTACAAGTGCTACAAAGCTGGTACGAGCTGCCACCGTCACCTCAGCCGGGTGAGTGCCACTTTGATCTAGTGAGTTCGCCAAGAGAGCGGAGGAATTCTCGCCACGCCGGTGAGTGCTCGCCAAGAGTGTAAAGGTATCGTGTTGGAGCCTCCGTAGCTGCTCGATGGGAGCGAGCCATGACCTGCAGGAGAACTGGCACATGATGCTCGATTCGAAGAGTTTCTGTGCATGCGAGTATCCACGGGAGCGTTTGAGGCTCGAAGTACTTCGTCTGTAGCGTTTTCCGTAGCCGGCGCACTGGAACTTGTCCGGTGATGGCTCTCCGTGGACAGTCGGGGGCTTGCAAAATTGCCAGCCTGAGTGCACTGCACGTCCGTCATATTTCTCATATCACAGCATAATACGGTATGCATGTCATAGTCAAATCATCAAGTTGATGCAGAGCCAGAATGCAGCCTTACTGCCAAGGACAAGCCCCTTCGGTCCCTATGGTGGTCTTTGCCTCCAGTTCCTGACGCGGAGTCAGGAACGTCAAGAGGAGACCCCGGAGAGGTTGGAGCCCCTTGGGGCAGGGTCTGGTGCGGCAGACATCGAGTACGAGCAGTTTATGAAGGCCAAGGAAGTGCAGAGGGTCATGTTCCAGCAAGAGAACAAGACCATAGTACATCAATGTGCCGACACGGACATCATCGAGGCTACCACAGGGTCCATTGCATGCATCGATGGGAACCAAGCCGCAGCTCACGTTGCCTACGCCCTCAGTGACTGCGCCTTCATTTATCCCATTACGCCGAGCTCTCCGATGGGAGAGATGGTGGACGAATGGGCCGCGCAAGGCTAGTGTCTCAAAGTTGGTGCGATGCCGTGACATGACTGTGGTGCAGCTGAGCCTCATCTTTGTTTCTGTGTCAGGCCTCATCAACTGCTATGGACAGAAGCTCAGTGTGACGGAGATGCAAAGCGAAGCTGGCGCAGCCGGTGCTCTCCACGGGGCATTGAAAGCAGGTGCCTTCAGCACCACCTTCACTGCAAGCC